TCTGCCACATATCTACGTTCCCTGATTTAGACAGTGGCGTTGATAATTCCCTCATACAGTACAGGAACTCTACTCATTCTGGTACGGGGAGCAGTTCGGCCAAATTATTCAAAAATCGTACACTACGTATCAATCTTTCTAATCTGGAATCAACTGAAGTAATTTATCATCTTGGAAATGAAGTACATTCTTCAAGAGAATCGGTGTTGAACCAGATGAGTCAAAGAATGTATCAACTCCTTGACTTAGAAGATGGGTTAGTCCGTCGCAGACATAGTGACCAAATAATTTATAACACTTCCAATTCTGAACGTTCTAATCCTTATCTTTCTCAGTCTATTTCAGATGGAAACCATTCAAATGAACCTTTCGAGAGTTCCATTGAAAATCCTCGACGATCCGAACGTTGGCGTTGTAAAGAGAGACTTGATTATTTCAAGCTGTGGTGGATGGGGTGATTGTGTATAAACTGAACATTCTTGTTTCTTTACATGATCGATTACCTTTGTACAATTTCGGCGCAAAATATAATTTGACTTTGAATATTCCGGTGTTTTATTTCATACTGCGTATTAGTTCGGTTGGAGCTTAACTGCGCGGATTTATTCTGATTCCAATTTCGATACCAAGTACAGATTATCACAGTTGGACTTCTCGGTTTTGGCCGATGACGAATAGATACTTCGTCACCAGCACAACTGTAAATGGTTGGTCAACTTAACGAATATTGTTATTTTTCGAGAACAAAGCTCGCCTTGTTCGGGTTGAATAATTCGAAGAGAAATATGTCATGGCATCCGTTTGTTCATTATCATCAGTTGAAGCACAGTGGAATCGCATCAGAGCTCACAAGTGCAAGGAACTGGGCGTATTGGCAACACCTGCAAGTCCTGTGTGTACGCGACCTAACCTGATCATAGCTGGATGCATTTGATAATCCTTTTCCCACCAGAATGCTTTATCTAATGCACCTGGTAGAATTAACTCAGATTAGCATGTCACTTACCGACTTCAGCCCGCATTTTTCACTTTGTTTGTAATCTCAGTAGTCCGTAACTCCCAATTGGCCGTTAATAGTCTTCCGACTGTGTCTGTAGTTGCTACCCGAGGCCAGCGAATCTTTTCACTGGACAACATCCATCTTTTCATCACTATAGCTATTGGATTATTACTTGCATTCCGTTTAACGCAGTACATCTTCAAAAGGTTTTAGATATTTATGATCTGGATATTGATCAAACAAAAAGAAGAATTACACTTTGAAAGTGTGTATAATGGGAATTATTGTACACTGCTGTCCGATGAATACATTAATATATTTACGAAAAATTTCTAAAGTTGTGGCTTCTTGTGCTCAAAACACGAGAGGTCATAGCTTTAAGCTTAAACAAGACCATACTAGGTTGGAGGCCCGGGCCAACTTCTTCGCACATAGGGTCATACCTATGCGGAACAGGTTACCCGGGGCAGAGGTCAACTGCATCAATATGCACAAATTCAAGGGGGCACTGGATGCGTGTTGGTCGGAAGAGTTTTCTGAGGTTAGGTGGTAATATATTGTCACTAAGAACCAGATAAATTGCAATCTCGAAGTGTGGAATCGGGCCATTTAATTGTACTTGAAACTGGTATGTTTCAGAAAACTAAGGTCTCTCACCGACGACGCGAGGGTACGTCAACCAAATCGCAATTGAGTGACGCGTAGCTAAAATCGATCCGAATCCCCAAACAAAACACTTTTGATTTGTAGTCTTCTAGGGTACTGAATTAGGGAAATCATTGCAAAATGTATAATAAAGCAAACCTCAAATTCGCGGTCAAAAGCACTCAAGCAAGCGAGAGCCAAATATGATATCCAGAGAGATCCAACAAGTCGCTCACGTTCTTTGACCACGCCAAATTGAAATGCGGCGGGCATCGAATCAACAGATAAAGATTTTTGATTGAGAAAGGTCAATAGAGAAGCAACTCACGGATGTAGTTATGTCACATGGAATCATCATGGGTTTGGAAGGATTTTAAAAAAAACAAAATCCTTCCTGCGCCCGTCTGAGTCAAAGGGTTGGCGCGGGTCATTGATTCTTGCCTATCATCTACCTGCCTAGTCCCTGCTGTCAGTACTTTGAACTACCAACTGTTCAGCCTTCGCCGCACTCGTCGATCTTGA